ATTATGACCGCGTGGTAACAGCAGATGAAAAACTCACTGGTCACGTCGTGTAGGGCTTGCAATGCTATTTTGACTTACGATAGCAAGACGACTGGTACGTTTTCTCCACAGCGACACGTGGACCGCGGATACAGCCGTTCTACAGCAGCTGATAGCCAGAGGCAAATGAGGAGCGTTTTGTTCCACAAGATTGCAGGAAAAGGTTTTACAGATCTAGCGCATTAACTAATAAACGTGGGAGCTAGCCGTGGTCGTGTCCCAGCAGAGAGTGTGATCCCACTACCATCTCTTGACATGTGGACCGACGATGACCGTAAGGCAATTACTTGCCACTGTATGTAGCCGGCACTGACTTAACTGGTGCGAGAAAGTACTCTTGACACCGACATTTGTCTCTGGCTAGCTGCTGCTGTAGAAAGGCTGTATCCACGGTCCACGTGTCGCTGAAGAGAAGACGCGCAGGTGCTCTTGCTATCGTAAGTCAAAATAGCATTGCAAGCCCTACACTGTACGTGACCAGTGAGATTTCTATCTGTTGTCACTATAGCAGATGAGCACAGCATTGTAAAACTGCGTCTGTGAGAATCCGTCTCCGTGTTTGACTGTGTCTACTCTCAGTCTTAGAGGAAAAGAGAGTGACCGATTTCGGGTTCGGGTTTTAAACTTGGCAGTACCATTCGGGTTCGCTCGGGTCGGGTTTCAAGGTCTCGGTCTGGCTTCAGTTTCATGCCCGTTCAGACCTCTATTACCCACTGCTTGCCTGTATGAACCATGTCTTGCCTTTTAAAATTCTTCCATTATTTTACTCAGATCCCACTTTAATAACAATATTATTGCTGTGCTTCAATTGCACTGTAATTCCTTCTAAGTGGTCTGTATCTCCTTTATGTGTTTTGTTTCTTTTACTGAGGCCTGGTCTGACTCCCAGTATGAAGGTACAGTCCCTCAGATAACAAAAGGTTTTCTTCTGATAAAGGGCTAGTCCTTCTGCCTGTGTACTTCAAGTGAGATAAAGCAGCCAAAAGGCTCCATAGCTTGGCAAATGAGCTGTTCTGCACCTTGTTTAGTGTGTAGTGCCACTTGCAAGTCTTCATCTGCTGTATCTACAGTATATGTATCCATCCATCTTCTAACCGTTTCATCCAATTCAGGGTCACAGGGAACCCAAAGTCCATCCCATTCTGGCCAGCAATGGGCGCAAGGCAGGGTACACCCTGGATGGGATGCCCATCTATCACAGGGCAGACAGACGCAGGCACACGCACTCCAGGGCCAATTTATCCTTGAAGTCAATTAGTTTACCAGCATGTCTTTGGACTGTGGGATGAAACCAGAGTTCCTGCCAGATGTCTACAGTATGTGAACAAGGGGAGCACATACGAATTCCAAGTAGACAGCTCCCCAGGTCCAGCATTGAAGCTAGGGCCCCAGCGCTGTGAAGCAGAAATGTTAACCACTGCTCCACCACGCTGTATGTTTATCTATAAAGTAAAAATCCTTTTCTAGTACTCTGACCTGAGGCACTGTGGCACAGCTCATAGAGTGTGACCAACAACAGTGACCTCAGCCCCCATGGTTATGCTATGACAACAGCAGTGATCACATACATATGGTGGCTAGCTTAAACCAAGTACAAGCATGAAACAATTACACTTGATCTTCATAGGAAATGTCAAAGAAAACCCCCACAGCCCTATTTTGTGGTTGTTATCAACTACCTGCCATTTCCTTTCTTTGACACATAAAGCAGATTGAATCTGTTCCCACAGTCACACTTAAATCAAGAATAATCATTTTTCAAGAATTCTCCAAAGACAGTTACATAAAAAGGACGTGAAAAAAATACCCTTTTAAGGGTTTCTGAAATGCATGTTAGTTTACGAGATTTCAGTCACCAACAGACCTCGAAAACCAAGAAACATTAGGAGTGTCTTGTGGTTTAAAGCAGTCTGGAGGGGTTCTCACCTTCTTCTCAATGGAAGACAGAAGGTCCTTGAGGATGGACAGCTTGGTCACCAAGCTGTCCAAGTCCTGGTCTCCTCCTTGACTTCCTGACTGTGGAAGAAAAACATGCCCTTTAACCTTACTTTGCTGATCACCCAAATATATGTCAGGACATTACAATGAATCTAACATACATAAAGTCAATGAAAGATTATTAGATTTCAGATTATGCTGAACTGTAATGTGCAAAATAAAAGACTGAATGGACACCACATCTACCTGCAACAGAACTTTGAAATGATTTTTCCAAAAAACGAAAATGGGGAAATGGGGAAAACATCTATCAGGGAACCTTCATCTAATAATGTACAGCCAATTAATTACCGTAATCCATGACACTCATAAGGTTTCTGCATTTGCAAAGTGCAGATACAGGTCTAGGTTTTAGGTTGGGCTCTGTTCCAACATGCCAACTGGCAAACAATGCAAAGTCATCTAAAAACTCTTCAGCAAAGAGAGTTTACTAGAGGTCAGGGAAGAAAGGAAGAGCTCAAACCGAGAGCATAACAAAGAAGTACAGCTACTGCTAGAATCAGCTGATGAGGGCCTCCTGGACTCACACGCCATTTCTGGAAATCAGCACCACGTGAAATTCAGGAATTCACGTCAGGTCAGCTGTGACTTATTCAATGAAGAAATGCCTTCTAGAAAAGTGCCAGATTACATTTTGGGCTTGCAAAAAAGGCCCATCCAATGTGAAACACGGCATTCCTAATACTGTTCATGGTTTCTGGCACGTTCACGAAGGTGTCTAAATATGTTTTCTAAGACCGCTCTGGTTAATTTGCATTTTGTTCACATCAAAACAAGAGTGAGTTTTCTATGCAAACTGAAATTAGTTCAATCTGTATATACAGATCAAAATCTATACAAAATCTATACAAAGTATATACAAAATCTACCACGTACTCCATGACATTGGGCTTGTGAGGTTTATCATCTTGATTGTGGAAAACTAGTCAGTGTAGGAGTATATTAGAATATTTTCATTCTAGTGGTGAAGCTTCATTGAGGTAAGTCACACTATTGCACTGAACTTTGGCTGACAATTCTCTGTTATCAATTTTTTAGGAATTCACCAATTATATGGAAAAAAATAGCAACAGGTAAGCAGTGTTAACACATACAAGGAAAGCAAGTCAGAAATTAACATGCAAGGTTATGAGTTAATCCTTTCACACAATCTCCTACCTGTTGTATCATCCGAGATACCATGAGTGCACTTTGCTGGTCAAACACTTTGGACAAAATCTCAAGCCCAGCTAAGACTTTATCCACCTCCCTGCAACAGAATGGAACAGAAAGAGGAGACTGTATGAGCTGCACAAGCCAAGAAGGATGCTTCTATCTAACCTTTTCTGATTTAAAAAATCTTTTTAGCCTACGTTTTACACAAACGTGCTTTTTCTCAGCAATGGGGAAGGATGTACAGCTGATGTCTAATCTGTAGCTCTTTGTTGTTAATTTCACCATAACGTCTGGCAGAACTTCTGAACTCTGCTCACAGCGCCCAGTCTGCCGGTGCTTTGAATTGAAATACTTTACAGAATCAGGTGGCCGAGCTGGTAAGTCATTCAAGAACGACTAATAGAAGATAGTAGGAGAAGAGACAGCAGGAGCACGGAGGGAGAGGACTCTTCTCACCCATGGAGGCGCTTGCAGGAGGCAACCAGAGTCTTGTTGAGGTGGGGAAGAGAACTGGCTCCCTGCTTCACAGCCTCCAAATCCAGAGCATAGCTGCCTTTCAGGTACTCATGAGAGATGGTGCTCAGCCCATTGGAGGCACTGAAAACAGATGAACCCACAAGGAGAAAATGAGAAGTTACTGGGTGTGCAGAAGACGTCTGCTGAGCCATGCTCTATGGACTAGCCGCATTTCTGTGTAATGGAAGACCTTGGTAGGCACCCGAGCTACTCATCTTGAACCGAACAACCCTTCCTCATTCTCAAGCCACTTGCTTCTGTATTCATAAATCTTGAGTGGTACGTTTTCTTGACTGTTCACCGAGGAGCAGAATGGAAGTGCCCTAGATTAAACTTGTTGGCTTTTGCACTTTGCTTTAAACATATAGACTCTACTTGCATTTCTTCCTGTACTGCTAAGTTCAACAGAGCAAATATTGAAACTACAGAGGATCAAGTCACTTAAATCTTACATTTTTGTCATGAAGATATACAGTACTTCCTTTAAATCAGACTGGATCATGGTATACACAATCCTATTTTATCTTCCACTCAGATCATTAAATAAGTTTCATAAACCTCCCCCTCAGCTCCACAAGAGGTTTTGAGTATTGCTTCTACATCACTTCAGATGTTGCATCAGTTTTTTTTTCAACAGGAAGTGGTGTTTCTGTCTTCACAAGAAACATTTGAGAATGCAAACGAGTTCAGGGGTTAATGATGTACACCAGACGATTTTCACAAATAAACTGTGTTCAGACATCTCAGGGACTCAGAAGATCAGGGACTTCCCTATGAGGCTCACAGGAGACATCTTGGCTTACACTACACAACATGAAGCACGCCTTATTAAATTCATTATCAAGATAGCAATACAGTACACAAAAGAGAATGTCTGAAAGCAATGAAAGGATTAGATTTCTATCTTCTATTTCTGCAGTCTAGTAGGAAAGAGCAATGCCTGCAGTTGGGAAATAAACTGTTCAGCCTCTTTCTGTGCAGCTCCAAAGCAGCCGGTCACCTGTCGATCTGAAGGTCCTGTCCAGCAGGGACCACAGCCGAGCTGGAAGAGGCAGGGCTGCTGGTGGAGGCGGTCCGAGGAGGAAGGGGCGGCTTGTCATCCTCCCCATCTGAGAACAAACCGAGAAAGAGGCATCAGAGCAGCCCTCTACGCTGCAAGACTGTCCAAGCTGCTGTCCAAGACAGAAAAGCTAGCTATGCTTCCACTTCCATGTTTAATAGCAGGTTCTGTGAATTTTCATGCTTAAGCATTTTTAATATTTTAATCTCTTAAAAACTCAGATGAGAAAACCGTGTGGAACCAAACAAAAAGACAGCCTATCCTAAGCTACCTGTACCTACCCCATCTTCTATACTTCAGGTGCTAATTCGCACAACAAAAATGTAATAATTCATTTTTAAATGAATTGATTTTTTTATTGTGAAAGCTGAAGTTATAATGTAAGCCCAATTTGTTTCCAAATAGTAGCTGCACTACTGAAAAATTAGACAAGTACATTAATAAAGTTGAATGGCATGATAAAGGCAGAAACAAAGAGGTATCTTTTTTAAACTGCCATAAAAAATGCCTCTGCTTGGTTTGTGTAAGCAGAGAGAGAGAGCAGAATCCAGTTAGGCAATATAATTTCTGATAGCATAAAGAAAAAAGTAAAGAGTTCAGGTCCTTGAAGTCTACGTACCATTTAACTGCTGTTTTTAGATCTAGGAAAAATTGTAAAAATAGTTCAAACAGTCAAACAATTAGTTTGATAATGAAGAGCTCAAATGGAATGATGAAGATGTACTGTAGGAACCCAGATCTTCCTTGCTGTACATGGAATTCATGATATTCCATTATTACCTATGCACTGGAAAATGGGCTGTAAACATGGTAACTTGGGCTGTTTGTGACTCACAGAACATCAATGGATCTTATTTTGAAGGACGCGTTTTCTTCAATGGCAAATGCATGCTGTTCAGTGCTGTTGTGCCATTTTCAATTCGCTGGAATGTTTTAGAGAATGACAACACAGCGTTGCGTATCTGGGCATGGGCTGAAGGGTTTGAGGGCAGATATATACTCTACACACAACCCATCCCCCCCCCCGACCCTCGTCATGTAAACTGTAGCTCCGCCAATATTACAGTTTAGTTGCTTGTGTTGTAAAACTAAATGTCAGTAATAAATATAAAAGGTGCTTCGGCGCAGGTTGCTACCAGAGTAGTCTCTGTCCTCAAGGCTTTCCTCTCTTTCCACTGGGTACAGCAGTGTGCTGACTAGCCCCTGGTTGGGCTGCAGATACAACTGGATCAGCTCAGGCAGGGTCTTAAAGCGCTTGGGCTGCACTCCCTGAGAGGTCTGCAGAACACAAGAGGGAGAGACGGGGGTGTTACACCAGCAGAGTGAAGCAGCTGACTCACTGAGCCCTTGCAGAGGCCCAGAGAGCTTTCCTGGGTTACATTACTAGGAATCCCGGTGAAATTCCTACACCAGGAGGCCATGGATTAGATGCATCTTCGGATCGAGGAGATAAAAGAATGATTAGAGCCGCCTCCGCCTGCTTCAGCCGTAATGCAGCGCTTCATGAAACTGCAAGCGCGCTGTAAATGAAAGAAAGGAACCTCTCCCTCCTGCCCCCAGTTTCAGCCTGATGGCCGGGGAAGGTAGGATTTCAGGAGCAGAAGCCGGCCGACTGGAGAACAGTGCTGCCCACAGACCTAGACTCCTGCCAGCTGCTCTCGGACCAGCCGCCGCCGGGGCACAAAGAGGCGCTGTCTTGTCTGGGACGGCGACGCAGGCCAACACAAGCGCCGGCCTCCTGCCAGCTGTTTCTGCACACGGCCGCAGCTTACACCCCAGCACACCCCACCTGCACTGCTGCCACGCTTGCATACTTTCCTACGCCCTGCTGAGTAGAAAATATACCACAGGAGGACCTGCAGTACGTTGGACTGTACACATTATAACTCCACCCTAAATTTTCAAGTCATTCAAACTAGTCTGCCGTCACACAGAGGACCTCAAGAAATTCCAAGCAGCGTTTTTTTTTTAATCAGATTTGAAGAACAAAAACAAAGCAAAATCTATCCACGGCATTCAAAATTGAGATGTGGGAAATGGCAATTGAGCTCTTAAAATGGAAGCCACCGATTGGGACAAAGTGCAGAGATTTGCAATGACACCAACTCTGTATGCGTGACTCCAGCCAGTGTGTTGCACTCTAGCTCTGTAATACAAACCGGCAGCTGGCCTCAGACATTTCCTGTCAGCACTGAGAAACTGCTTCATGCAAATAAGCGCTCCCCTGCTGGTGTTTTGCAGGTCTACCTTTCCTGCAATCTCTTGAGAGCTTGCTGGAGAGGAAGCCCCCCCCCCCCCAGCTGGATACCCAGGGTAACTTCAGGGTATACATTTGTCGTCTTGAGGTTAGCTCATTGGCAGCCTGGAGGCTTCTAACAAGCACAATCTGGATGAAAACGGAACATGTTCGGGGAAAAAACGCCAAACTTCCTAACTGGCCTTAAACTGCGCTAAACAGTTTTACCACTAATTTTCAACTCTACAGAAGTGCAGCCACAGTAGATCTATCTCACCAGAGATTTACAGGAAACACAGGAGTGTTCTACGTATTGAGGCACACAATACACTGTAAAAGCCTGTTACTGAAGAAACAGGAGGGAGGCACTCATCTCACCAGTTTGCTTGTTAATAGCTAACTGAACAAAGGACCTCATCCAGCTGCTTTTTGAAAGAAGCCAAAGTACTGGCTTTAACAACACGTCTTAGTAGCTTGTTCCAGACTCCCACAACCATTTCTGAGAAGAAATGCCTAATGATCTTGGTTTAATGTGCACTTCCCCATAGTTTCCACTCGTGTCTTCATGTGTCACTGCTCATGCTGAAGAAATCCACTGGGCTGACTTGGTCAACACGAGGATCAGGTCTCTCCATCATCTTCTATGTTCAAGGCTAAAAAGATTCAGTTCCTCCGGCCTGTCAGTGTAAGTCATTCCCTTAAGCCCCAGAATGTCTCCGTTTGCTCTTCACTGGACTGATCCCAGAGCGGTAATCTTTTCTGTAACCAAATTTGGTGACCAAAATTGTACACAATATTGTAAATGAGGACTTGCTAGTGTATTACACAAATTTAACATAATATCCTTTGTTGGGAATTCTGTACTTATATGTCGTGATGTTCTATTTGCCTTTTTTTTCTTTCTCACATTGTCAATATGTAAATAATGCATGAACATAAACACCTAATTTACATCGCAGTATTATCAGCATGTCCTTCACAACTGACATCTTGCTTCCTTATATCATACTGTATATACGGAGGAACGTGTTAATATTGGAGACTCACTTGGGCGCACATAACAAGTTTTATGGAAAAATAAGCTCATATAATTACACTGACACTATTATGAATCCAATTAAAATGAAAATAAATCATGCACCATGAAGCTATATGAGTATTCAGCTGCAAGTGGGCATTTGAAAAAAAAAAAATAACTTCAAAGTAGACAATAGTTACAGGTATGTAAAATTCTCTGCAGGAAGTGGTATGATCCTACACTCTACGATAGTAACACCAGTGAAGTTGATGGTTTTGATGGGTTGTTGCCTTATTTAGAGTGTAAAAGAACTGTCTGTGAATACTGTCTTCACAGAGTCAAGGCCTGGAGAAAACATACCTGAACTGCCAGGAAGCCCTCTTCATCTGGGAGTATTCTATAAGTGTGGACATGCTTCTGAAACCTAGGAACATAGAAATAAAATGAGTTATGAGACAGAAATACAATGACCCCATGAAATTCATATTTAACCGTCACAAATAAAAGCTATTTGGAGTTAAAATTACAGACAATAAAACAAAATACTGAACTAGTTCTAACGCAACAAAGTACTGCCCCCAGGCTAAGCTTTAAAAGAGGTGATGTAGCAATACAAAATATATTTTTAGCTGTAACAAGTTGAAAAAAGGCTGTTGAGAAATGGATGCTGGTGTGTGAATAGAAATGGAAATAGGCAGTGAATTTCACAATAGCTTGGCATTGTGGGTATTTGGAAAATATAAAAATGAAATGAAACGAATTTTCTGAAGCTCCATAAATAGTAAAAACAACAGCTTCCGACAGTGAAACAGCAATCAGAATAATAAGCAGACAACGAAAGAGTGCTATGTGGTCAAATGTTTCGCAGGTTTTTTTTGCAATTATTTTGAGCAAATGTTTGTGGTTGACCTACCTAAATTAAAAATGTCATCTTCCCTTTTTTCCAAGCATGGTCAGACAGTTCAGACTGAAAGCTTCACTGACCACAACCCTGAGAGCTTAAGTGACACATCACTAAACTATTTAGTGTGGGATGAAATTCTTTAAACATCAAACGTCATCATTTAAGACCGGGCATAAGGAAATGTATTACTATAGAACAGAAAGAACAAGTAATGAAGTAAATGTTTCTGTCACGTTATGACAGCCGAAAGTATGCGATAGGGTTTGGAATCCCAGAGAAGCCTCTTATTCCCAACCTCACTACTACCAAAGAACCTGGGAACTTCTAAGGTTAAGGTTCACTTTATTGTCATTCTACACTTATACAATGTACAAGAGAGAACTAAATATAGTTCCTCCCGGGCCGCGCTGCACAATACACTAGAACAATCAGAATAATGTCACAGAAGAACACACATGGGGGGCCGGGAGGCAGTCAATTAGCAGCTGTTGAGATAGTAAAGGTATATAAACAAGAATAAAACAGTGTAATGAGTAGATAAATGAATAAATGGGTATTTCCGGTAGAAATGTGCAAATAAGCATTTTGAAATACGGAGGTGGTGTACAAGTGCAGACAATTGTGCAGGGCATAGACGTAACACAACATGACAGTGCAAACACTACAGGGCACCCAGTCACTGAGATGGCAGTGATAGCACAGCAGCAGATGGTCAGTCCTTGTTCTCAGGACAGGGAGACCCTACAGGAGGAAGGCACACAACTGCTTTGGTCAAAACACTTCCAAAGGTTCTGCTTAGAGCCTGGCACAATTATTGTTTTTCATAAAATATAATATAAAATTAAATACTTAAACATATTTTGTTATATCTCTGTGAAGGGGATAGGTTCATTGTTGACTTGTGCCTTTGCTACACAGGAAGTCAAATACTAGAATTTCTCTTTACCTTTGGACCTACAGTAGTATTTAACAATCTACGTTCTGCTGGTTTCAGGCAGGCCTTTCCAGGAGTTTAATGCCAGCCTGCTGTACAGCCTGCACAAACTACTATGTAATTCATACCACAAGGACCAATCATCCTTCCACGGTCTGGAACTGTGGCCACATTCAACCGATATCCAAACCAGCTTTTTTAAAACAGACTTTTAGCCCAGGTGCAACATAGTTAGCAAGGCATCATTTCTGTGCTCTCTCTTTTTTTTTTTTCCTTTTCTCTTCCACCCACCATTATGGTCTGGAAATGTGTTTTCAAGTCAGAGAACACAGAAAACCATGAGTATAAATAAGGAGTGGATTGACATGTGCCACAGTCCCATTTCCCTATTCAAATAAACTTGTGGCGCTCTTTTACTTTACAAACCTTTCGAACTTCCCTCTCCAGTTCCTCAGACCGGCAGGTGATCGCGGATTGTCAAATGTTCACTCATAACCCCCCGCCAACTCTGACAGAAGCAGGCTCAAACTGTAAACACTATTTCTTTCCATTTTCAGACAACAGCAGTAGCAGTTCCTCTTCCCAGCTGCAGTCACAACATAAAGCAATCCAAGAATGTGCACAGACGGAGGTAATGTGAACTGAAACCCCTGGAGTAGAATTTTGGCAGTAAAATGAGCATCCCGGGTAAACTGAGTCTTGTTCATCTGGAACGCTAAAGCATTTGCTACATCTTTCTTTCACTTTGCAGGGTATAACAAAAACTCCAGCTGACCTTCACTCAGAACCCCAGGAAAGCCATGGTCCATAAACTGAAAAGTGGCTGGAAATAAGGCATAGTCTAATTGTTCACTTTACAACAGAAAATAATTCAGCTTTGTTTAACAAGCACGACATTTGCATAAAATGTTCTGATCTCTCCTGAAATTGTAGGAAGGTGCCACTATTATTAACTTTTTCCATTTATAAACAGTGTTTCTCAATGCCTGCATACAGTACATGCAATATTTGTTTTTTTTTCCATCACTTTTTAGACAGACTGCATTTTGTCCAACACCCAGCTCTCTTCATTTCTGGTGGCCATTAAAAACAGGAAGCCACATCAGCTCTGTACACCTAAGCTGGGGTTACTCAGCGGTTAAGCTTGTCGGCTATACAGACTAAAAACATTTGTCTCCTGTATGGTGAACTAATTTTCTGTTCTATATCACCCTTCTTCTGTGAGTCACCAAAATCTTTAACCTTTATTATACCCTAACTTTTTAAATTGCATACTAGTTTGGCCGGTCAGCAAGAGTATCCATTCACTTCCCTAGAAACCAAAACAATTTCCCTAGCACATAGGGAACAAGATAAGTGTAAAACGCACAGAACACAATTTTATCCCTTGAATAACAGTCTTGAAAAACATCTTCCTGATCTTCCTCTTCTCCCTCTACACAGCAATGCGCTCTCGTTGTCCATCTTTCCCTGAGCTGCTCTCTGCCTTCACTTATTTTACACCCAGAGCTCAGGGTACTTGTCTCCCAGGGAAACTACTGTCCTCCAGCACAAACCTTCGTCAATGAAGTGAAAACACGGCTCTCATACATACATGCATGCTTGTATTCAGAAACGGCATTTCAGGACAGGAATATGTCAGTGCCACGGCTTGGCCTTGTTGACACACATTAACTTCTGAAACACATGGGCAATCATGTCACAACAAAAGGTAACCATGGCAATGAGGGTTTGAGCTACTTCACCATGACCTCCAGCTGTCGCTGTGATCAGTGCCTGAGCCAGCAGTGCAGTGAATTAACCCCCATAGGCTTGTTGGCTTGGAGATCCCCCTCTCCATGCCTCTAAACCCAAGGGGTTAAGTCAGTTGCCACAGCCATTTAAAAGATTAAATATAGAACCTGAAGACAGAAAATGAAAAGGTCTGTCACTACACGTTGAGAAATTAAAATCTGCTAACAATTCTAAAAAAAAAAACCTCTTAAATGCCTAAAAAAAGGTTTCTACCCTGCATTTATTCTTGTACCTATGAGGTCAAAAGCCACATTCTCAGGTTGAATATGCTTTAGACAGTCTTCAGTACTACTTTTCAAATTTGGTAACCAAATTTGGAAGAATGACATATAGAAAAGCAAAAGGCAAACTGGGACGTGTTTTGTTTTGTAAATTGAAAATATGGATTATGGCCACTGTTTATGTGTAAAACCGCCCTTTCTTCAGACCAGATGAACAGTTACACAGAAAACCGGCTCAACATTACTTCAAATAGCCTTAAGATGGCTCAGAACAGAAGAGAAAGTGTGGCCAGGGGCCCTACCACAGGGAGTTTCAGTCAACCTGTCAGTGTCCATCAAACCAAGCCAAGAGAGCTGAGCTCAGACCTGGACACAGAGGGGCAGCTGAGCCTTCACTGAAGCAGGTACTACTGTAGACCAGTCACAGACAGCAGCCATCTTAGATTTGTTTTTGTTCTCCCGTGTTTTTTAAATGGAATTTGATATTTTAAAAAAGGAAACTTGCTGCTATAATTTGAATGCTGGCTTTTTAATAGAAAGGACTGTTCTCCATTCTCTTTTATCATGATTAAAACTGAGGTGTTAGCAAATGTTTTAGACATTTTGGTCATTACAAACGAAAAAATTAACTTCAAAAGGGGAATTTTAAATTAGAGCATTTTGCGTACAGTAATAACATAAATGCTGAGAAGGAGCAGGGCTATTTGTATCTTGTTCTATTTTCTTTTAAGTGAAATGATACACAGGTAACTTGATCACAGGCAGATAGATCATTTCCATATCTAAGCCACAGCGGTTCACTGAGCTAGGGCTTAGCCTGGTTTCCATGGCGTTAAGTGGACTAGGAATCACATGACTCCACCCCGCCCCCCCCTCCAACCCATCCACAAAGAGACACCTGTCCGCTAGAGTGATGACGACCCCCCAGCAATGCTGGTCTCATTTATACAGCTATAACTGGGGTAAAGTACCTCACCCAAGGTACAGAGTCTCCAAAACCACAACATACCAGTCACAGGTCCAGAGACTTACCCACTATATATAGTGCATACCCACTTTGCTCCACTATCCCCAGACTTTACAAAAAAAGAAGCAAAACCAGAAATGTAGCACAAACATAAAGTAGTAGCTTTTTGAAGATGGTAGCTAAGGATTTGAAAATGCAGTGGTCAAATTCAGCATGACAAAATTATTTGTGTGAGCTCCATTTATTCTTATTGCTGTGGTTTCTTTAAAAAAAAATATATGGCACATGTGCATAGGGATTTCCACTGTGGCAAAGACCAGTTTCTCAGTTCTCAACAGGCAAGACCACATTACTGGTACCCACGCAGCACAGAGTTTTTGCCTGCTCTTAAAGCAATTACAGAAATTAAGAACATTAAGAAAATAAGTCAGATTACAAATGAGAGGAGGCTTTTGAGCTAATCTAGCATGTTTGGTAGTTAATACATCCAAGGTTGCCAATGAGCTTTTCATGATAGACGTCAGGGTCAGGAAGGGGATTGGATTTAACAATATGGCTGGGTAGCCAATAAACGCCAGCAGCCATATCACCCTGCACCTCACAA